CTTTCTTTGTTCATAGCTGTACAAAGCCGAACAAACTTCTCTGAGAGAAACTTCGTCATTTCCATGGAGTAGAGTAGTTTCAAGGTGCTCGTACTCATCAGGAAGTGACGCCAATAACATCAAGGCCAAGTCACCATCATCATAAGTTGTATCCATGTNACAATTACTATACCAAAAAATTATGACAGCCACTAAATAATAAATAAGACAATAAAGCAACAATAAAATGAACAGTAGAATTTACGAGGTTCGGCTAATTTTGCCTACTCCTCAGACACAACCAATATTTTATTCCACTCCAAAAATACAAGTGAAATAATACTAAAGAGAGAAGATACAAATGCCTTAAGAAGATAAGAAGGCAAATGAGAGGTGTGTTTAAATCCTAAACATTAGGCCTCCTTTTATAGGAAAAAATTCCCACCAAATTTACTTCCCAGCCGATGTGGGATATTGTCCTATTCAACAGATACAACCTCTTACAAGGGAAAAGCTTTGATGGTCTCTTTGCTCAAATTAATAAGAGAAAAGCTGTTGGACCTTCAGTAAACATTTATTCCGAACGTTGAAGCATCAATGTTGTTCTCGGGTTGAGCATCGCCTTCATACTTTCAGTCACTAAATTATATCTTTGGTCATTTGTCCGGCTACATCCCATTCTATTTTTGTATAATGAATTTTAGTTTCCGAATTGTAGACTGCTCTCCACTGACACTATGTTCAACTTCAGTAGCCGAGCATTATGTTATTATGCAGACATGTCATGCACCTAACTGTTAGATATTTGTCATAATTTTCTTTATCATATTTGGTTTTCTTATTTGTTGAAGGAAAGTGGAATATGTTTACTTTAATTGGGTTTTTCTTTTTGTAGAAGGAAATTACAAATATCTCATATTTGGCTAGTCCTTTTTCTTGTAAGAAAAGGTTTGGACTTCTATAAATTGAGAATCATTCCTTCTCATTCAGCATCCACAATGTAGCCATACGGAGTTTGAGAGTCGTGTTTAGGGAGAGAACTCTACAGGACAAGTGTTAGTGTGTCACTTGTGTTTGCCTCTTCGTGAGGTTGTTCTATCGATATTTTACACTCTCTTTTTATATAGTGGATTGCTCATCTTAGCGGTGGACGTAGGTCAATTGACTGAACCGCGTTAAATGTTTGTGTTTCTTTTGGTAGATTTTTTTTCTGTTGTCGGACTTCAAAGTTTGCTTTGCTAGCTTCCGTATGACACCTGATTTTTTCGGTCCTAACACTAACTAGTTGTAAATTAGGCCTTTTCTACTCTCATTCTACGTTTCCGCGGCCAATAGAAAGTTAAAGAGAGACATAATTATCCTACTTCTGTATTGAAAATTTTGATTTGTTGGATGTGCTCTATGAAGGTCTTAACTAGTTGTGAATTTCCGTGCCAATTTTCGACATGAGAGTTGTTATTTTGAACAACCAGAGTGGGTGAATTGGGTCTTTCCAGAATTTCGCTCTCTTTTAAATTTTGGGATTTTCCTACATATACAAAATTAGAATAATATTTACCCAGTTTAAGTAGGTTTTTCTATTTATAAAAAATAACTAGAGGTTTTTTTAGGGAAAATACATAAGTACCCCTGACCTATACCCGGATTTCCAACTACACACTTTATTTTTGCAGGAATCTTATTACCCTCCTAAACATTTTTTAAATGGAATAAATACTACCCTAAAACTAGACAACCAAACTCTTGTTGGCAAGTGGTGAACTACACGTAGAGGCGGATGTAGTGTATCATTAACGGGTTCAACTGAACCTATAACTTTCGATGCGAAGTAAAAATTTATATGTAAAAATTTATTAAAATTGTAAAAATAGTAGATACAAACCCATAACTTTAAATATATAATGGATTCAACGCTAAAAACTTCAAAAATTAAAGCCATAAGATTTAAATTCTGGATCCGCCTCTGACTACATGCACTGTCACATGTATATTTAGTACTTTTTTTATTCTTTCTTCTTTTTCTCATCCTTTTTTTCTTATTTATTATTATTCTCATTTTTTTGTTATTTCATTCTCTTTCTTTTCGTTTTGGTCACCGCCGGAAAAAATTATCCGGTGATAGATTTTTATCCCGATCTGAGTGTGTGTGTGTGTATATATATATATATGNGGGGGGGGGGGGAGAGCAAAAGAAAGAAAAACGAATATAAGCTGAGAGGACTTTTTCCAGTTAAAATTTTAATACCTCAATTTTTTTAGGCATGGGAAGGTTTTACGATGATGACTTTTTTTCCCCCAAATCTGAGTGTATTTTGTTTTGCTTGTAAATAGATCTTTTTGAGAGTTTTAATTTGTGTGTGAGAAGGATAGAAAGAGGAAAAAGAAAAACAGAATAAATAGAAGAAAAACGGTTAGAAAAAGTCGCCGGTGAATGAATATCCACCGGAATTAAATAAGAAACGAAAAAAGAAGTAAAAGAAAAAGACAAAGAAAAAGAAAAAAGTAACTAAAAATGGTAAAAAAAAAAAGCAAAAGAAAAATCTGAAAATTATTTTTTCTTGCTTCTCAGTCTCCCAAGGAGAGTGAAATACACACACTCTGCCACATTAGCTTTAAGGGTACAAATAATTCTACTTTAAAATAGTTTAGGGAGGTAATAGGATTCCCACAAAGATAAAGTGTGTAGTTGGAAATCTGGCTATAGGTCAGGGGGTACTTATGCATTTTTTCTTTTTTTTTTTAAAACAAAATCTATAGAAATCCGGTTAAAAGCAACAATTTATATATTCTTGTAGACAAATTTTTGTCGTACAGAATCCGGTCAAAAATTATAATTTACATTCAACTTATCTGTATGTAATTTTTTTGGTCAAACACGTACAATTTGCATACAATTATTTATGTATTTTCTATGTCGTTTGTACACCCGATATACAAAATACATACAACTTATTCTTTTTCTTTTTATTTGAGTTTCAATCTGAAATTTCAATTAAAATCAACTCGAAGTACCACACTCCCTCAAAACTGAGATAAATACCAAAAGATATTCTCAATTGTTTGCAACAACATTCAATTTAAATAAATAATAATTTTGTCGAAACCCAATTTTCGAATTCAAAGTTTCAAAGTTTTTTAATGGATGTAAATAGAGTTAAGCTAATGTTTTCATGGTTTTCACACCCAATCACTTTAATTTCAATTATAGGATCTATTTTCTCCCATGCTTTTTTCCATTCTTTCATCCATCACTTGGGAGGTCTAAGCAATAAGCACCATTACTTGAACCGCCTCGAGGAAGATTTAAACTTGTTGGCTGAATACCTACTGGTATAACAATACTCCATTCCGGAAAATCCACAGAATGCGGGAGGAAGAAGTGGGAACGAAAATAGGGAAGATTGGTGCTTAATATATTACTTTATATGCAAATGATAATTATGTATGTAATTAAATGATAACCTCTCTAATAGAGATAACTAAGTTTATAATGTAATATAGATAAATAAATAATAACAATAGATAATATTACCTAACAATTTTGCTTAGCAGGCAATGACGAGACGGGGTAAGGTCAGTGAGGACTAAGAATTTTATATCAATCAATTTGGCAGTATTAAAGTACAAAGTCAATGCTACTTGAACTGTTGGACTGTTTCCGTCCTTATACTTTGTTCTCTTTTAAATAATAAGTTAGTTAGCACATCAAGTAGCATTGACTTTGAATGGTAAAACTTGAGCTGTTTCGTGATATTTTAGTCCCAAATTGGAAGAAAGTCATCCTCAACTCTAACTCTAGCATTACTGCAAAACACACTGTTAATGAACCATACCTGTAAGCAAACTAATCTAGCATTGAATAGGTAAAGGAAAGCTCTTAGCAGAGACTATTTTAAGATAGAAACATTAATCTTATCCAAATTCTTAACGATTTTGCGATTCATTGTTTTTCTTTGCAGCTTTCAGAAATGGAGATTGGCTTAGCAGTTGGTGGTGCATTTCTATCTTCAGCTTTGAATGTTCTCTTTGATAGGCTTGCTCCTCGGGGTGACCTGCTCAAGATGTTTCAGAGGCAAAAGCATGATTTTCGACTCTTAGAGAAGCTGAGGAGGACTTTGTGTGGTTTCCAGGCTGTGCTAAGTGATGCAGAGAATAAGCAGGCATCAAATCCAAACGTGAGTCAGTGGCTTAATGAACTTCGGGATGCTGTGGACAGTGCTGAAAACTTAATCGAAGAGGTCAATTATGAAGTATTGAGACTTCAAGTGGAAGGTCAGCATCAAAATCTTTCAGAAACAAGCAAACAACAAGTAAGTGACCTGAACTTGTGTTTGAGTGGTGATTTTATTATTAACATAATGGAGAAATTGGAATACACCATTGAAACGCTGGAGGAGTTGCAAAAGCAAATTGGTCACCTTGGCCTAAAAGAGTATCTTTATTCAGTTAAACAAGAAACTAGAAGACTTTCAACTTCTGTGGTTGATGAATCTGATATCTTTGGTAGGCAGAATGAAATAGGGGAATTGATCGACCGTATATTGTCGGTTGATGCAACTGGAAACAAACTGACTGTAATTCCTATTGTTGGAATGGCTGGGATTGGCAAAACAACACTTGCTAAAGCTGTTTACAATGATGAGAAGGTGAAAGACCATTTTGATTTGAAAGCTTGGTTTTGTGTGTCTGAACCATATGATGCTTTTAGAGTAACAAAAGGGTTACTTCAAGAAATTGGCATAATGGTTGATAACAATCTTAATCAGCTACAGGTCAAATTGAAGGAAAGCTTAAAGGGCAAAAAATTTCTTATTGTTCTGGATGATGTTTGGAATGACAACTATAATGCATGGGATGACTTGAGAAATCTTTTTGTTCAAGGAGATGCAGGAAGTACGATCATCGTGACGACACGTAAGAAAAGTGTTGCCAAGACAATGGGTAATGAGCACATAAGGATTGATACTTTGTCTAGTGATGTCTCTTGGTCTTTATTCAAAAGACATGCATTTGACAACATGGATCCTAATGAGCATCTAGAACATGTAGAAGTCGGGAAACAAATCGCAGCTAAGTGCAAAGGATTGCCCTTAGCTCTAAAGACGCTCGCTGGCATGTTGCGCTCCAAACCAGAGGTTGAAGGGTGGAAACGTATTTTGAGAAGTGAAGTATGGGAGCTACCCGACAATGGCATCTTACCAGCGTTGATGTTGAGCTATAACGATCTTCCTCTACATTTAAAACAATGTTTTTCCTACTGTGCAATATTTCCGAAAGATTATCCATTTCGGAAAAAACAAGTCATTCAGTTGTGGATTGCTAATGGTCTAGTACAGGGGCTGAAAAAAGATGAAACAATTAAAGATTTAGGCAACCTATTCTTTCTCGAGTTGCAATCAAGGTCACTTTTCGAAAGGGTCCCAGAGTCTTCTAAAAATAATGCAGAGAAATTCTTAATGCATGACCTTGTCAATGATTTGGCCCAAGTTGCGTCTTCAAAACTTTGTGTTAGGTTGGAAGAGTACCAAGAGTCTCATATGTTGAAACGAAGTCGACACGTGTCCTATTCAATGGGCTATGGTGACTTTGAAAAGTTGGAACCTCTCTACAAATTGGAGCAGCTGAGGACATTACTTCCAATCTACAGTATCGAGCTATATCGTTCTTCTCTAAGCCAGAGGGTGTTGCATAACATATTTCCAAGACTAACATCCTTAAGGGCATTATCATTGTCTCATTATCATATCAAGGAGTTACCAGATGTCTTGTTTATCAAATTAAAACTCCTAAGATTTTTGGACCTTTCTTTGACAGAGATAAAGCAGTTACCAGAATCCATTTGTGTACTTTATAATTTAGAGACACTTCTCTTGTCATCTTGTGAATTCCTTGAGGAGTTACCGCGGCAGATGGAGAAGTTGATAAATTTGCGTCACCTTGACATTAGCGGCAGCTCTCGCTTGATGATGCCACTACATTTGAGCAAGTTGAAAAGCCTCCATGTGTTATTGGGAGCTAAATTTCTTCTAGGTGATCCCAGTGGTTCGAGAATGGAAGATTTGGGTGAACTATGCAACTTGTATGGAACTCTATCAATTCGACAGTTGGAAAATGTGGCGGATAGAAGGGAAGCTTTGAAGGCAAACATGAGAGGAAAGGAACATATTGAAAAGTTATCATTGGAGTGGAGTGTAAGTATTGCGGACAGTTCACAAAATGAAAGAGACATACTAGGTGAGATTCATCCAAATCCAAACATAAAAGAACTTGAGATCAACGGATATAGAGGGACAAACTTTCCATATTGGCTAGCTGATTATTCATTTTCTGAGCTGGTGGAATTGTCTCTAAATAATTGCAAGGACTGTTATTCCTTGCCAGCATTCGGCCAACTTCCTTCTTTGAAATTCCTTTCAATTCAAGGGATGCATCGAATAATAGAGGTGACTGAAGAATTTTATGGTAGTTCATCTTCCAAAAAGCCTTTTAACTCTCTTGAGAAGCTTGAATTTGCAGAGATGCTGGAGTGGGAGCAGTGGCACGCACTGGGGAATGGCGAGTTTCCTACACTTCAGGAACTTTCAATTAAAAATTGCCCTAAGTTGATTGGAAAGTTGCCTGAAAATCTCCGTTCGCTGATAAAATTGAAAATTTCAAAATGTTCGGAACTCAATCTGGAGACACCTATAGAATTTTTAAGTCTAAAAAAGTTTGAAGTTGAAGGTTCTCCTAAGGTTGAAGTTCTTTTTGATCATGCTGAACTGTTTTTGTCTCAACTTCAGGGAATGAAACAGATAGTTGAATTAGATATTTTCAATTGTCACTCTATTACCTCCTTACCAATTAGCATTCTGCCAAGCACCTTGAAGAGAATAAGCATATATGATTGCAGGAATTTGAAATTGGAGACGTCAGTTAGTGAGATGATTTCTAGCGGAAGTGACATGTTTCTTGAGAGTTTGACAGTAGAAGGATGTGATTCTATAGATGAGATATCACCTGAGTTGGTCCCAAGAGCACGCCAATTGAGGGTAGAAAGTTGCCACAGCCTTACAAGGCTTCTGATTCCCAATGGGACTGAAGCTCTCAGCATAAATGGAAGGTTTCTTTTTCATAATAAATGTGAGAATCTTGAAATACTTTCGGTGGCTCAAACGACATTGTTGCGTACTTTGGATATTATGCACTGCGAGAAGCTGAAGTCGCTGCCAGAACATATGCAGGAACTTGTTCCATCTCTTAAGGAGCTATTTCTGAATAATTGTCCAGAAATAGAGTCCTTTCCTGAAGGAGGATTGCCCTTCAATTTAGAAGTCCTTAAGATTTGGAATTGCAAGAAACTGGTGAATGGGCGAAAGGAGTGGGGTTTACAGAGACTCCCCTGTCTCACAGAGTTAACCATCTACCATGATGGCAGTGACGAAGAGATTCCTGCCGGTGAAAATTGGAAGTTGCCTTGCTCTATTCGACGAATTACCATACACAATCTGAAAACATTTAGCAACCAAGTTCTCAAAAGCCTAACCTCTCTTGAATCTCTATATACTTATAATTTACCTCAAATTCAGTCACTGTTGGAAGAAGGGCTTACCTCATCTCTTTTTGAGCTTACATTAGATCGCCATGAAGAGCTCCATTCACTACCGACCGAAGGTCTTCGGCGCATCACCTCGCTTCAACGTCTAGATATCAGGTTCTGCGATCAACTCCAATCTATTACAGAATCAGCACTGCCGTCTTCCCTCTCTAAGCTGGTCATCGAGCATTGCCCTAAACTTCAATCTCTTCCAGTCAAAGGGATGCCCTCTTCCATCTCTGAACTATCTATTTACCGCTGCCCATTGCTCAAAACACTCCTAGAATTTGAGAAGGGGGATTACTGGCCAAATATTGCTCACATTCCCACCATAAGAGTCGACGAGGAATATCTGTAATGATTATATCGAGTGGTGCTTTGATAAATGTAAGTTACTCTTTCTCTTTTTTATCTCAACAACTTTTTATTTTTGTTACTTCTCCATGCTTGTTTTGTTAAATCTTGTGAAGCAGTGTGGAGCTTATAATGCCATTATGAAGCCGAGGAATCATTTTCAGATTGGGATGAATTGAATGTTATATGACAAAACGAAAAGGTGATAAAATCCTTATATTGGAACTGAAACATTGTAAAAAAGATTTGGTATTGGCAGGAATTCACATATTTGCTCCAGAAAGTTGATAGCTTAATGTCATATTAATGAACTAGTAATCTGTTAGCACACACATATATGTCAGACATATGTTTATTGTCTTTGGAAATTTATCTAAATTGGAATTCATGTATTATTGTCATTGTTGAAGTTTGCCAAAGTCCCACATCGGTTGGGAGTTAAGTTTGGGGGGATTTTCCCCCTATAAAAGAAGGC